CTGTTCATTCGAACCGAGTCGCAAACTGTTCGTGAATCATTTGACTGTTAGAGAGAATCAAACAGCATAATTTATAAAACGTAATCGAAAATATAGTGATAAATAGCATTATATAAACATATCCCGTTTTACTGCAAAAGGAAATCAGCGAAAACAGTGCGGGGGCGTCTCAAACAATGCGTTTTAACTGATTTATTGAAATGAACTGTCGAACGAATCGAATCGGTGAAAAGAAGTGAAAGGCAGATCGGAATCGGAAGACACTTCCTACTTATGTTCAAATGATGTGAGCTGTTAAACGACAAAATGACTTGTCTTCAGTGGGAGTTCCTTCATTTCTCGGCTCTTCATTGCAGTTAGTCCAGAATTTATTTGAACCTCAGGTACTTTTAGATGACACTGGTGTGACACATAATGACACAATTCATACGACACTGTGTACTTTGCATCGCAGGTCCGCGTTTCTGTGTTTTTGGATGCCTTCTTGACCAGGTGACTCACTCTTGTAAAAGAGATTTTAATCCAAGAGACTTTTGCCTGGTTAAATAACGGTTGCAAACTTAATAACACATGCCAATAATAACACATCTGCTGGCTTCATAAGTTGATTCACTTTGGTAGAAATCCACAAGAACATTCTCAGAGACATGCTTTTCCTTCACCTCAGTATTTATAGACTCATTTTATTTACTATATATTGACCACAAGAGCTTTACTTCTGAATAAACAGGTTCACAGACCTGCTAATGCATACGCCTTATTAAACATCAGTACTGAAAACAGCATTTATTGCACATATCAAAAGTAGACAGACCCCTTTATTACCCTAAATGATAAAAAAAAAAATGCATTGTTGGAAAACTGTCCGTTTCACTTCAGTAGACTCAAAAGAAGTCTTACCTTTGTTGGTCTCAATTTCTCCATCTGAGAAAGCTCTTCTCTTATCTATGTCATCTTCTTGTCCTTGAGATCTTTCTGTAGGCCAAGACAGAGACAACTGAACCTTATGCTAGTACCTAGAAGAATCCGTGTATCATTCGATCATTCGGTTTTTGATTTAATATTGAAAGTAGAAAAATTAGAAAATGGCTCCTTTTTCGTTTTTTTTCCCCCCAAAAATTGAAAAAAGAGAATTCAGCTTAAATTTTCTTTTTTCGCTCAGGGGTAGAAAAATGAATAAACAGCTTGAATATTTGATTTCTACACGTGGGCGGGAATTAAACGCCCCTTTCTGCTGATTGGTCAGCCGAAGATCAAACCGTGCCGTCATCAGTTCTTTTGCAGTACCACGCAGCAGAATAATAGTCCTCCACTGCTGCAGTTGTATGGATTAATTATTCATTTTATTGCAACTACATTTCACATAAAAAGGAGCCGTTTTCTCATTTTTCTACTTTCAATATTAAATAAAAAAACGAACGATCGAATGATACACGGATTTAGAAGTGTTAATTAATCTGTAGGCTTCTCTTGCAGTTTATTTACAAAGCAGAGCAAATTTGGATGGCTAGGTGTGTAAACTGAGTGACTCACGTTCACGTCGATCACTTCTAAATGAAGAAAATAATCTTCTTCTGAAATAATTTTCCCCTTCATCCAGTGATGGTCTAGCTAGTAGTCATAGAGGCAAATGAAAAGGAATCTTTCCAGAATGCGAATATGTTGAGATTTGAAACACCCTTTACTGCTTTAATCATA